CCTATGGAAAGAAAGTCATGTGCTATGGACAAATATTGAGGTATGCGCAGATCAAGAGCATGAGAAAAAAAGTGCGCCTTGAGACATCACTCGAATAGCGATCTTTTCGAGTTCTTGACCATTCATTCGCAACAATATAGATACTTTAAACGTGCAACCTTTCCAACATATTCTTATGTACGTATATAAACACTTTTTAGAGATACATTAATCATTCGCAAAGTATTAAGTAGAATGTGATGAATATATTGTGATGTAATTTGCTAAAGTTTCTTTTCTTTCTTATTCCTCAGTCTACATTCTCTGATATAAAACACCAATTATTTATCAATTTTTTACTCTGTCCTGTCTTCCTTGCCATTATCATTCTTCTTCAACATGAGATCTCACTACCCTACAAATTTACGATAGTGATACGTTTACTTTCTATCCTTGTCTCTTTCTTCTTACTCTCTTATTCACATCTTTCTACTTCCTAGCTCTTAATCTTTTTTACCTTACATTGTCAATCTCGTTTGATAAGAACTATAAAAGTCTATGTAGAAAAAGAAAAACGAAAGTTTGAAAGAATAATCATAAAATAAATGATCTTATTGGATTTTTCTCTCTCATCTGTTATTGACCACCATATTCTTAACTGAAAGTATGTGGAGTTTATCTTAGTGTTAACAAAAAAAGCGCCACATTTGATGTCGTAGAAAAATCTACAAAAAGAAACAGCAACCATCGAATATTCATATAGAAAATATGATATCTGTTCAAGTCACAACCTATTATTCATCATATTCGATTACCATTGATCGAATGGCAAATTTTATCTAGTATAGGTGGAGAAAACTCCAAAGATACTATTTCCAAATCAACAATGGATGCTACTACAAACACAAGTCTTATCGACTATCATGCGACAAAGTCGACGAATAGCTGAAAACTATTTGGTGATCTAGGTTGATGGAAACATTGACACAAAAAATGAAGATTGTCAGAATACACTCGCGTAATTGCGTGATGTTGTCAATGAGATAGAGCCTTGCACCACAGCGGAAGAATATATTAAACATCTCAACGAAAATAACGAAGAAATATCATTCGTTACCTCCTTCGGAGTATTTCGGCAACATCTCGTATCAGACATTCATGGCATGTCAAGACTGAATGCCATATACATCTATTGTGGAAACCAACAACGGTATGAGGCATGGGCCAAAAAATGGGCGAAAATAAAAGGAGTCCATACATCAATCAAGCCCATATGTGACGCATTGCAAATGACTGTCCAGCAATGCAATCGAAATAGCATGCCCGTAAGCATTGCTAGTGTAACCGAATGAGACTAACGAAAATCTCAATCATCTAGAACTCTTCTTTATGTATTCCCAAATATTCAAGGAAATTTCCCGTGATATGGAACATGACCAAGAACACATCAAAGAAATGGTCACGTTTTGCCAAAAAGAATATCGAGACAATACCAAAGAAAGAAAAATTCTGAAAGAATTCGAACGCCCCTATAGATCGTCAGAGGTCATTTGATGGCATACACGTGAGTGCTTCACGTACAAAATGCTCAATCGTGCATTGCGAACACTCGACGGTGACGTCATTATCAAAATGGGCTCTTTGCTTTGTGATGTGCACCGATAACTCAAAGCTTACACAGTAAGCAGGTCAGTTTTTATCATGGAAATACTTTTCCAGTTTTTCCAGGGCAAAAATTATCGAAAGCTGACTTCGAAAAACTCCAAAAACAAAGGCGGGCTTATCTTTCAATAATTTTTTATCCACCAGTAAAATCCGAGATGTCTCTCTCAATTTCACCGAACATGCCTTAGAAATAAATGATATAGTAGGTATTCTTTTTCGAATGATCATCAATCCTACTATCTCATCGACTTCCTTTGCCACTATTCTTGACGTGAGTTATTACAAAAAAGAAGATGAAATTCTCTTTTCCATGCATACTATTTTTCGGATCATTGACATTCTGAAACTTGACAACAATCGTTCAATATATGAAGTGGACCTTAAACTTACATCAGATGACGACAAACAACTCCATCGATTAACGAACCGTATATGACAATAAGCGACATGTGAAGCTGGATGGGAACGATTGGGTTTATTGCTGCTCAAAATAGGTCGATCCGATAATGCCAGAGAACATATCTATAATCGGTTTGGATGAGTAAAACGGAACCAAGGGTAATACAAAGAAGCAGTTTAATTTTACGAAAAAGCACTGGAAATCGACCGAAAAGTTCTCCCGAAAGATCTGTCTTCATTGGATTCTTCCTACACCAGCATTTAGTCTAAGGTATTACAACATGAATGACTACTCGAAAGCGTTTGAGTTTTACGAAAAAGCGCAGAGAAAACAAAAGGTCTGCCTTTCAATCGTCCCAATTTGGCTACTTCCTACGACAACATCGGTAATGCGTATTGCGGCACTGATGACTACTCGAAAGCAATTTCATTCCTAGAAAAGGCACTTTCTATTGGAAAAATACCACTTCCGTCAACGCATCCGCTAATCAAGCGATTCATGGATAACATTAATGATGTGAATAAGAAAATTTAAATTTCCTTTTTTTGTCACTTGCTCAATAAACTGGTTTTGACTGCTATTCACTGTTTCCGACTATTCTCTAATCATAGTCACGCTCGCGCGCGACCAGAGAGACCCTATCCTCAATAAGCCTGAAACCGGTGCACGCAGAGCGGGTCACGTCGAACTGGTAGAGCAATGAACATAGGCATGACGTACAATAAAAAACGGTAGAGATCATACATTCTTAGTAGGCCTTCATGAGTATTACACTGCTTTCGCCAGAACAGACATGATGAAACTCTGTAGTCAGGCTATAAACTCGCGCGCGCCTCTTGAGTATAACAGTATGCAAATTTGAATTGAACTTTGTCAGGTGAAATCGAATGTAGATTTCACTTGGCAATATCTGCGACTTTTTATTGTCTTTGTTTTCCATAGTTTACTGCAGTTCTTTCTACAGCATGTTCCACAGTTGCTTTAAAATCAATGAATCGAATAGATATTCATTTATAGTATTCAAACGTAGAATAGAGGTTATTACAATAATTAGGGTAAAATTTCGAATATTCTTGTTTCAAAATACATTAGGTTCAACTAGAAGCAGGGAACTTTAACAATATAGTTTTAACCTGATAGAGACATTTTTTCTCTTACATCCTCTATTTTTTCTATATAGAAAAAATGGTCAATGAAATATTACAATAAATTGATAATACAGTAGTATTCTTTAATTTAGTTGGAATTTGTTGAAAGTTGTGAAACGAAAAAACATACAATTTTCAATGTTAATTTTTCTTTGTTTTTAATGTCACACGAAAACGAATCACACAAATCTTCTACACAAGTAATGCGAAAACATTTGAAGTCTTCATATTATGTTGATAAGTTACTAAAAATATCGAATATGCGTTCAATGAAGAAGCGATAAATTAGTTCTGATACTACATTTTTGACAAGAATATCAACTACGCAAAGTATTTAATGAATGTTTTTGATACAGTATTGATCTGATTCGAATAACAATTGTTTATGTTTATAAAAAAAATGTATTAGTAAAGAATACTTTGCGTAAGATAATACATTTAGAATATTGAACGAGTAGAGTTACTTGTAAATGAATAGAACACATAGAATTTCGATGAAATTTTGATTGATCCATTACTATTCCACATAGCGATTTCAGAAGAGTCAACAATGAAATAACCATTGGCGTAGTGTATTGGTATCTTCGATATATCAAGAGTATGAATCGATAGATCAGGCACACTCTTGTTTGTGATTGCAATTTTCATTACATCAGTAACCACTGACAGAAGAATGATCGGACAAAACGTTTTACTGAAGACTTTCCATAAATCTGATTTGGCTTGGCTAAGAAACGTTGTAGACAGCTCCAGAATGTTTTATTTTATAGAGAATTGTTCTGTTTATCGTTACATGTAACGGGAGCAAATTTTATATCCGAATTGTATGTGCTGAAAAACTATAAATTTGATTTCCTAGAAATCCCTAAGCAATTATTCTATGCCTTACAATATATTATCTATCTAGCTTTTCTGAAACTTTCGAATGGTATTGGTATCAGTAGTGGCAATGATCATAGTTATATATTACACAATACATTCTTATTATGTTTCTTCTCTTTTGATAGAAAAAAAATAAATTTTTATTAATTGATACTTACGGAGTTCACTAAAAGTAAGGGAGGAAAAGCGAGACTTGATCTGCTCCAAAAACAAATTGGAGTACAGTGGAGTGCAAGTAGAGTACAGGTGAAGTATGCATTTCTGAAGTCTCGCTTGTCCAGCCTCGCCACCCCCCCCCCCTCTGTTGATACAGAGGGTGCAAAATATCAGTGAGGAAGATGTAGATACACACTTGGCTGTGCTCAAATCTAGATCTGGGTTCAAAAAAACATGGAGCCACAACTCCCTGATCGAAAAAAAGCAAACTGCTGTTATGATGAGAAAGAACAATCATTAATATCCAATTCGTAGAATATCAATTATAAGCAAATCGCAATCAGTTCCCATCTCAGAATAACGACAGAAGGCGAGTTTTTATTTTTTCGAACATATTCAGGATTTCCACGTATTTTAAGTTTTCCTTTCTGTGCGATGCTAATAAATTTTCTGCATCGTTCTACATTCGAATCTAACTTTAAAAAAACTCCTCTTTTAAATTAAAATTATCTACTAAATACTTAAGAAGATAAAATTATTAAATTTGATATAAAACAAAACAAAAACCTCTTGGAACGATAGTTTATCCATACTTAAGAAGTTGATTAAACTATATCTCGACAATTACATTCAATGTCAAATAACAGAAGTTTATCACTTCAATCAATTTTTTTATGTTTTGATATTAATACAAACATTAAAATCTTATTTGAAAAAAGAAAAAAACTTTGATTGTTATTGTTGCTGGATTAAATAGATAATTGAATAAGTTAAAAAGAACATGTCATATTTTGTAAATGCCATGATTGGGAATCTCGTCCAAGAGCACAATATTCACTATCAAGCCGCATTATTGTGCCATCAAGACGAATACGATTATTGCACTGTGATACAGCTTTTATATTCCATACATTTGATGAAAGAATATAATCATTTCCTTGACTATGTTCATTACCATTACCAGGTGCAAGTGTAGCTGGCAGTGTAATACTAAATGAAACATTCTTACGTTCATTTAAGACAACAATATCAATAAGAAATATATCAGTAATAGATCCTTTAAAAAGGCCTGTTTTCCAATTAAATTTTGGTAAATCTACTAATTCAGGTCCTAATTCTTGTGTCATATCAGTTGTACGTATTAATTCAATAATAGGTATATTAGAAAATTTTAATCGACAATTAAGAAAACGATGTTGAAGAAATATTGTTGTCATATTTCGAAAACAAATAAAAACTGATACTTCAAGATCATTTAATTTTGGAAAATGATTTGGAATAATCATTTGAGATAATGGTTTATTATTAATGATTGAATTTGTTGTACGAAGACCAGTAAAAAAAAGTTCATGAAAAGATAAATAATTAATATTAAAAACAAGAAAAGCAAATGATTTATCTTGCTCATAGATAGCTATTAAAAAATCATCTTCATTTGATAATTTCGATATACGAATTGGTGACTTAATATCGTTTGTTAATGATATAGATTTTGTTTTAATTAAATTCCAATCAAATGAATATTCATGTAATAAAGATTGAATTTTTTGTGTATGTTGAATAGGTTTTTGTGTTATATCAGATAATTGTTCATTCGTTTTTGGTAAACGTATACGATTTGGACGTGTATTTATATCAATTGAAACAATTGAAAAAAGACGAAGAAAATGTACACGAGATAAAAATTCTGGCATTGTTGTTTCAAGCCAACGAATTGACATACTTGTATCAAAAAATTTCATTGTATCATGTTTTTGAGACCATATTATATTATGTTTATCATCACAAAATGCAAGAAGAAAGTTAAATTGATCAGCAAATTTGTTAAATATTTTTTGATAATCAGGAATACCGGTATAAGATTTTAATATATCGAATTTAATTGGAAAAAGAGATTTTAATTGAGTTTTTATTTGTTGATTTAAATATGTTTGTATTCGTTGCTTACTTGGTGACGTGGATGATATTTGATGAAGGCCATAGGAAAGTACTAATGAACGCCAAAGACTTTCATCTTGTGAGATTGAATACCTGATATTAAAAAAAATTGAATAAAATCATTCAAATATTAGGAAATGCATCTAAGAGAAATTGCAGATTTTAAAAGTAACATGTCATTTTCATGATGTTGTTGAATTGATTAAATCTTATTTCTTGAGTGTAGAATAGTGATCAAAAAAGGAATTATGTTCTACATTCTACTGTGTTTCAGTCTTTGGGACGAATATAAAGAAAAAGTAATGAAAAGAAGAAATAAACGTTATAAAACTCAATACATCTATCATAAAAATTGATATCGATCATCGTGTCTATGTTCTTTATATGAATATTTTTATTGTGAAATGGTTACACGAGAAAATTCTGAATATGTGCTATAAAACTGATACAGTCTATTTTCGAAGTTTCATACAAAGAGTATAGTTATCAAAAGAGTTAATTTTCAAAAGTAAGTTCTTTGAATGATGTCATTTTTTGAAAGATGTAGAATAATGACACTTTGAAGATTGTATGGGTTTTCTACAATATTTTNAAGTTCAAATTGAACGAAAATTAGTAGCACGAGGCAGCTCACAAACTGTCCAGCAAAAGTTCTCCTGGTTGGTCAATTGCTTGACCATTCAAAATCAGTAGGATTTTGTAGCCCCCGGCTTGCTCTTTTGAATGGTGAAAACCGCAGCTCGATAACTCAAAGTAATCAAAAGTTATTCAGAAAATGGTCGTTAATACTTTTAAAAAAATCCGACATTAATACAGTCTATTTTCGAAGTTTCATTCAAAGAGTACAGTTATCAAAAGAGTTAATTTTCAAAAGTAAGTTCTTTGAATGATGTCATTTTTTGAAAGATGTAGAATAATGACACTTTGAAGATTGTATGGGTTTTCTACAATATTTTTCGTTGTTTTGTTATAGCCCTGATATAGTACTAGTTACTATAATTCAACCGAAATAGAGAACTAAATAACATAGGAAGTAGTGACATAGAAAAATCAGTTCTTAAGCCAATATAAACAACAAGTTTCAAGATACATGAAATCTAATATTTCCTCTTTAGAAATAATCCAGTGACATATACTGAATTTTACTTTTTATAGGAACAGTAGATGGAAACTGCCATTACCTGATACTTTAATAATTTCAATATTTTATTTAAAAAAAAAGAAGATAAAGCGTTTACCATCGTCGACAGACAATGCCAATATTGAGTAAATCAATAGGTGTTAAATAACGAAAAATATATAGAAGAACATCATCAGGTAATTCATTGATTTCAATTTTTTTCGAAACCATATAACGAGGTTTTGTAGCATTAGGTAAAGGAAATTTTGTTATTTTTTTAGTTGTCATACTATTTATTGATTTATTAGAAGAAAAACTATGCCTGATTGATTTTGAATTCGACATTTTTCAAACTAAAAGCTCTTCTATATTTTCATCGTACTCCATTTTTCTCTTATTTATTCTCTAGCAACGACTTCTTTACATTCACACCTACAGATGTCAGAAATAGATGATAATAAATTACAACATATACATTAGTGTCTTGTATTGTTTACTTCTATTATCAAATTAAGACGATATTCTTTTTTATGAAAGTACTTACCAAAGGTAATTCACTTATCTGAGGTTTTAATTTTGTTCTTCTGTATTTAATCATAAATGACAATTAGAAAGAAAATAAAAAACAAACTGTTGAAGGTCTCCATATGAAATGTGTATGAAAAAAAAAACGTGTATATATAGTTACTTTAATGATTTTGCTTTGTCGTTGCGCTAGTCACATTGCACTTCTTTAGATTCTTTGTGTAAAAAAATTTGCATAATCCTGGTAAAGGCTGATGAATCATTGTCAATAAATGCAGATAGTTACAGATAAAGGAATATAAATTTCAACAAGTAGTCATTGCAACGAAACACGCTGTTCGAAAGCAAGCAAAATTGATATCTGATGATAATTCGGCTATCTCTTTTGGCATTATATATTGAGCTTGCTTATCACATTCTGAACGGTCTTGACTTAAGAATAATTGTTTTTTTCAATTCACCATGTGTGTACACGACTGAATGCGATCACTGACACATATCATTGACAACATGTCGAGTTCACTGTTATCATTGAGTCAGATTTACATAATCTTGAAGACATAATTTAGTTCAACAAACGATTATTGTTGTTATTTTACTAGTTGGTTTTAAAATAACAATAGTTCCAGTATAATATTTTGATTATAACAAATACTACTCCAAAGAAAAGAATCACTTGCATTATTCAACTTGTTTCCAAGGACTTTATTGAGTTTTCTGCTGTTTCTGCAATATTTTATTACATAGAAAACAAAACTAATCTGATTGGAAACGCATCGTAGTATTTTTTTCCTACAATAGTTGTAGAGGAGACTTCTTTAGGTTCCTAATAAATCTCAAAAACTAAAAAACTGTAAGAGCTGTCAGAACTTTAGAAATCCTAAGAATACTCTAGTACTCTAATAGTTATATAATCATCCAACGAATACTAGTTGGTTCTTATAATAAAAGGAAATGAATAAGAAGTCATTTTGACACAGTTTTACTCTGACACTTATGATAATGTTGAGATAAAGTGAAAGGAATGTAATTTTTCAAAAGTCAGTGTTTTGTGAACAGAGATTTATTTAAGAGAAGATGGGTGATTTATGTGACTGATGAAACGATTGATTGGCTCTAAAAGTTCTCTAGTTCTTAATTCTTCTCACATAGAAAGGAATATTCTAACTAAAGTAAATATGAGTCTTGCAAATAATAAATTGGAAGTTTTGTATGAAGTTTTAGTTGATATAATAAATTTCTCTGCTATCCATGCAAATATATTTTTGTGTCAAAATATGTCTATTTTGTATTTGGTGTTTACATGAAAGGTTGAAAAGCATCCATGTCATTTTTACATAGTATTATTATTCAATACAGTATGTGTCGATCTTCCCGTAACGCGCTCAATCATATGATAGGGTGATGGTGATGTTCTACCATCAACCTGATTTGAGCAATGCAGTCTCTCCCAGGTTTTCTGGATTTACATTCGTCTTTCAGATAGTTCATAGGACTCTAAAAGTTTAATGAGTTCCAAATTCACAACATTCGACAATCAATGATCATTTGTGATATTTACAGGTAACTCCACAAATATGCAGATTGTTTCAAAAACATGGAGGAAAAAAATTCCAGACATATGCAATATGTGAGTCATCAGCTAGCATTTGAGTAATAGGATGAATTCAGAGTAGCATAAGATAGAATCTAATAAAACCGAGAACTATTACTTTTCTTTGCACCGGACCACCAAATATTGTACTTTTTTGAGTATGTAAAGTAGATCTTTGTCGCCTGTTGATTCTAAGTCGCATAGAATTATGCAAAAGAATACGAAAATATGTTACTTTGAAGTCGATAATAACTCTATTCCACCGATCTATTCATCATTCTAAACAATAATTTTTCGCTCTTTTAACCTTCTTATTTTTTATCTTACTTTTGTTGTCTTTTTATCTGTACAATCTCTCTGTACATAGGATATTTGGGTAATTCCACGGGGTTTCTACTATGTTATGCAAAAGTATTTCCTATTAACGTGAATATTTCAGCGTTTGTAGAGCTTTCATTTCTAAACATATTGATATTGAAAAAGCTTTTGTTGTGAGTAAGATATACTCAAAACACTTGAAGCAGTAAAATCGAAAATTCGTAATAAAAACCGATTTTTTTTGGAAAAATTGTCTTCAATGCTCCTTGGTAGTTTCGTATACTGAAACAAGCTCAAAGCTAAAATACAAGACCATATTCGGATTTCTCGTGAGACGACACATTAGATCATACTAAATTTGACTTGGGTTTTGAAAAAAAAACATCCTGTCTCAATTATGTTCTCACTGGATTATCAGCGTTTCTGATATGCCTGAAATATTGAATCAACATTTTTAAGGAGTGTTTTCGTCAGTACTGTTACGAGAAAGTTTGCGACATGGCCGTTAAAGAAAGACTTTTGGTTTATTATTCAGTTATCTCAAATACAAGGTACAATCAAACCATATTCAAATCTAAAATATTAGATTAATTAGTGGTACTTCTGAAAAATGTGAGTTGTAACAAGGATGAAACTTTTGTTTTGTGACCCTTAATGATTCCTACAAATGAGCATATTCAATATTTTGACATTATCACAAGAATGGCTGAATAGTTTGAGCTTGGAGACATCTTGTTTGATAAAGAACCGTATAGACTATTATTTTGTTCTATTTTAATGGCCAACATTAAAAGTAAAGAAAACGTCCTAACTCAAAATGACGATAGTTCGGAAATGCGCCTTCCGAGTAGAGTTGGTATTTCGGACTTTTCTTGTGTGATGTGAACGATACTAGAGTTCGTTTTTTATCAGTTTGTGGTCTATACTGTTCTCTATCGAACAAGATGTCTTCGAGCTCAAGTCATTCAACCATTCCTGAGATAATATCAAAATATTGAACATACTCATTTTTAGGAACCATTAGGGGTCACAAAACAGAACTTTCATCCTTGTTACAGCTCACATTTTTCACAAGTACTACTAAATGATCTAATATTTTGGATTTGAATGTGGTTTGGTTGTACCTTACATTTGAGATAACTGAATAATAAACCAAAAGCCTTTCTTTAACGGTCATGTCGCAAACTTTCTGGTAACAGTACTGAGGAAAACACTCCTTAAAAATGTTGATTCAATACTTCAGGCATATCAGAAACGCTGATAATCCAGTGAGAACATAATTGAGACAGGATGTTTTTTTGTTCAAAACCCAAGTCAGATTTAGTATGACCTGATGTGTTGTCTCACGAGAAATCCGAATATGGTCTTGTATTTTAGCATTGAAATTGTTTGAGTACACAAAACTATCAAGAAGCATTGGAGACAATTTTGCCAAAAAAATCGGTTTTTATTACGAATTTTCGATTTTACTGCTTCAAGTGTTTTGAGTATATCTTACTCACAACAAAAGCTTTTTCAATATCAATATGTTTAGAAGTGAAAGCTCTACAAACGCTGAAATATTCATCGGTGATCAACTTTCTACATGTGTTTGAGCTCATGTGGAAAAATCCACATGGTAATTGAATATGAAAAAATAGGATGAGAACATCGAAATCTGCCCGATTTTATATCCCGTCTTTTTCATAAATTTGATCACTCTCAAAAGGGAAGTATGCTATTTTGTAGAGCAACCTTTGTTCTATCTTTGCCACTGTGTCAGTTATCTTGGAAATCCCAAACGTTGCCTTTTTTTTCAATTGAAATATAAATCCCTTTTCACTATTTTTAAGATCTCATATGTGAAGATATATCGACGTTTAGCCCTCTCGCATTCGTTTCAGAATTCAAAACAATATTGCTTCGGATACTACGAATAAAACTGAATAAAAGTAGCCTTCTAAGAAAACTGCGCGATCAGAAACATGCGAATAATAAAGCTTAGAAATAAGAAATGAAAAAATACTAAAAAATCATTTGTGAAATTTTACACGATAAAAACCATGAATATTAGACTTCTGGGAATCATAGATGCCAAGATTTTTTCTGCAATCTAAATACATGGAAATAACCAGTTAATCGAGCTCTACAGGCGCTGAAATATTCACGTTGATAGGAAATACTTTTTTATAATATGGTAGAAATCCCATGGAGTTTACCCAGAGGTATTCTTTCTTTTAGTGATGCGCATAATATAATTGTATGTGCACGTGTTGGAAAAGACCTTATGTTATGTTTAGCTTCGAGATTATTGACAACTGTAAGAGAGAATGATTTATTTGTTTAGGGTGATCGATTTGGTTGTGTACTTGAGGATATTGTTAAACGATTTAATGTAGCATGTAATAATCGTTTACATTCAACTAATTAAGTGAATACAATGCGTAAGGAAGAAAAACTTTTTATTGATATTAGACATCAAGTTAAATTGATAATACAATATTCTTTTTTTTTATATTCTTATATAATTATTTATTTTTATTAATATTTTGTTGAATGTCCTTGATATACATGCTATTCTTCTTAAAAAATAATTTAAGCATTTTTTCAATAGTGCCATTACTTGACTATACATTCGCATTTAAAAAAACCTTTTAGCAAGATATTCAATCAGATATAACCAAGAAGATTTTATTATTCAATTATTCTTTTGTTTTTCTTATAGAAACCATATTTAATTTTAAATGTTGCTGAGTGTGTCAATGTACGTATGGCTGGCTGATCTACAACATAATTGTGACTGTTTTACATTTGAAAGAGCAAATTTTATGGCTCGTTTATTCTCGGAAGAACTCTTGGACTCATTGGTCAT